CTGTTCAACATCATTTTCTAACCCACCAAGACATCACAGACAAACACCATGAGGCCCGAGTGTTACAGTCTAGCTGCTATCAAACTCCTCTTGTAGTGCTTGATGGCACCCTGGCTGCACGGTGCTACATGCCCATGTCCTGGGTCCTCACTACCTGGCCTTTATGCAGACTCATCCTGAAGTGACAACATGCCACCAGGACAGTGCATGTTCTCCTGCTGCTCTGGTAAACCCAGCTGACGTGCAGGATGAGAACCAGACAGTCAGAGCCATGAAGGCCCTACTCACCAGACGAAAGCTCCGCTGAACACGTAGATTTCAGTGACCAGCGAACAGGCACGTGCTTGTCCAGGATCTGGGAGAGAGAACCGAATCCCTCTAGACAGTGACCACGGCATGTTGTAAGACAGGCACTGCAGATGTGCAGCTTGGAATGTGTGTCCACACACGACACTAGCATGCGCCTTTCAAAGGAGACCCCCTGTTGATGAGAAACATTCATCAGTAAGCATTAATCAGAATTGACCGATTATAAAGACAAAAAAAAAAGTCAGTGCACCTGCTACACAGATCGCCACTTTCCTGACAACTATCTGCGGCAAAATAGCAGTTATGCACTATTCATTTTCATGCTCAGTACCATTTACAATGCTTAAGCTTTTTTTGTGCAATGTGTTAAGTAGAATATAGTTTTGTATGTAGTGCTAACGCTGACAATTCATATACAAAACCATAACTTACCACGTCAACAGATCCAATGAAAAAGACCACAACTCGATCTACACAGGATTTACGCGAGAAACAATAAGAATAGTTAAACAAGTGGGGCACAAGAAAAGAGCAGAGTTGCAAAATCTCTAGGTAGGTCATATTCACCCTTTTATTTCACAACCGCCAGGTAAAATAAAGTGTATTTAGTGGATTCTAAAACGGAGATTTTCTTACCATTTTATATTTGAAAATCGCAACACGCCGGCAATTCCGAACAATGTCCAACAATTCCAAATAAATAATAATTAACTGGTTCCAACACCTTCAGGTCTCGGTTGCAGCGACTGGATGGGACACAGAAGTTCTGCAAAACGACACCAATAAAAATGCATTAATATTCAACAAGGTTTGGCTAAGAAAATAGTTTCAACTCCTTTCCTTGCCGAGGGAAACTTCACCCCCGTTCAAACAGCGCAGAAATACACTGTTCACTCAATAAAAGGACATCTTTCTGAAAAGTATCGTACCTGAATGAAACCTCAAAAACAAAAACACCGGATTCTAGCCCGTTTTGGGCAGAAAAAT